CTAAGACTGAGCGAGAAATGCGGCTGTGCATCATTTAATGGATGGGACAAGCGGTAAAGTATGTGTGGGTAAATGGAGAGCCTGACAGCTGCAAACACAATCAGGCACTTAGACACACACACACACACACACACACACACACACACACACACACACACACACACACACACACACATCCACAGGGTGACAGCAACATAACAAACACGTACAAGTGCACAAATGCACACAGATAACCCCACACAAACATGCATAACCTTTCCTTTTCCCACACAGTCTGTTTAAAGACTCTGCCAGAGGCTCTTGCTCTCAGTTCTACACCACTGACTCCATCTTGACACAGAGATCAGAAAGTTGCCAGAAAGTAACCGGCAATTTACTCCTTGGTTAAACACTTGGAAGCCACAGAGCCCCATCACCAGCAGCAAATCCATCAGAGAGAAATAAACGCTGACAAAGACAGGGGACAAGAAAGAAAGAAAGAAAAGGGGAATACATCTAAACCTCTTAGGCTCAAACAACCATCCCGTCTCACTCTGCGGGGTGGAAACCCCTGAGGTGTGTAATATGAAACAGCATGTTAATGGTAGAACTCTTCCCTTTGAACTTCTTTATTGCTATTAAAAGGTGCTGTTATGATAGTCCCTGTGCTGTCTCACCTGGCATCCTCTGTCCTCAAGTGTTCCCTCTTGTGCTCTCTTCCATCCCTTTTTATTTCACTCCTGTGGTCTCTTTCACCTTGTTGTTCATGTGGGTATTTAAATAGCCATAAGCCGTGATATCTAACAGTAAAAACAACTTTTACTTAAGTTGGATTAAAAGAAACCATTGTGACCATTGGTAAGAGAAGGGACATGAAGTTGTCCACTTTGTAATGACAATATAATTATGTTTTCCTCTTTAGGAGCCTTAATAGCCACATACTGTAAGCTGTATGTTCCAAACACTTATTTTAATATATCCTGTAGCTTTTGCACGCATTCAAAGTAACACCAGCAAGAGAACCAGTGGGGTGTAAGCGACACTTTGGGCAAAAAGAAGTACGTTAAATAAAGGCTCTTGGTGAGCTATATCTACTGCAATCCTAAAGCAATCCAGAGTTATTAATACAAATAAAACATAATTAAAAGAAGACCTAACACTGAGTTATTTGAGTTAAATGTTTTCAATAAAAGCCAAATATTATTCATTAAATATATTCTTAGCCACAAGATTTAAAATTTATTTAATTCAATAAAGTATGGTCATTTGTTTTGTTTATTTTATTTTGGCTCTCCTGTAAAGTTGGTCAAATGTCACTTACACCCCTCTGGTTCTCACCCCCCGATGTTCTTCAACTTATGATCGCCACAAAAACGTATAATTATAAGTTAAAGACTCACAGTGCAGTTGTGCAACATCCATGCACTTTGGGTTATGAGGCACAATATCCAATAGATTTTTGGTCATGGTTTTGCTCTTTTTTAAAGCACTGAACTGGCCATGCCTGCATATGTGGAGGAGGCCAATCAGGACCATCCCTAGAAGAGATGATAATATACAATATTTCTGGTGAATTTCAGTATGCCATTAATCAAAAAATCATGAACTGTGAAATAAAAAAACATTTCCCATTGAGTTCTTCTTGATTTTGGTTTGACCTCAATTTATGTAAAGTATACTACAAGGACTATTTTAAATTGGGTAGGTGTGGTCCCACCTGTTCACCATATGGTGCCTGTGGAGAGCTCTGTTGCTTAGACACAGAGATGATTTACAGACAGAATGGGATGCCTCTAGGTATACAGAAAACAGCTCTGTGAAAGTATTGTCGGTTTGCTGCGTCATCATTTCAAAAGCTTGCAGACAAACAGTATCACATACACTATTTTGTGTTGTTGTCCAATATGCATTTGCATGAATCTTGGATGGCTTGGATTTCAGAAATACTTGGATTATGAGATGCAAAAAGATTGGCATTGCAGTGGCTGCTGGTCTGAATAATGGAATAGTGAGTGAGAGAGAGCAACGAGAGTAGAGAGCAAAAGAGTGAGAGAGGCACAGAGACACACAAGGGTGATTATCTCTGCTGTGTAACACAGAGGATTGGACTCAAGATGAGCCTCTCCTCTGGCACAAATTTATCTATGTTGTCAGGTGTGCCTAGACGATTACCCACCATGCTGTGCTGCTCTGTGGCAACTCCCTCAGTGGGAGTCAAGTTCTCACACAAGACCAGAGCCAAGGAAAGAATGGCAGCCTATTTCTCACAGTCCCATCCTTATGTTCCTTTCACAGAGTCTGATGGACAACATAACCTTATCTATTGACTCGTGGTTTGCTGCTGTTATTATCCCTTATTATCCATCCCTGTCTGTTTGTTTTGATAGTGATTGGAAGGCTAAATGCTATTATGCTGACATATATACACAAAATATGATCAGTAAAGGCTATTGCTCCTTGGCCGCTGCTGTTTGCAGCTATTATAAAAGCACGTACCATGCTAGAACATTTGTGTTTGAATAGCAGATTAGATGTATGAGCAATGATTTTATAAATAATCCAGATTTAAATTGCTTTGTTTCATTTGCAGTCATTTCTTATAGTCCATGTATCTGGTTTAAAAAAGTATCATAAGTTAGTATAGGATTTCAAGCAGGGTTGTAGTACTTGAGTCTGGTCTCTGACATTTTTTCTATTGTCTCAGGCTTGTCTTGGACTTGGTGGTATTTGCATTCAGACCAGCCTTGGATTTGGCCATTTGTCTCAACAAATATTCTAGTGGATTTTGAGTCCAGCAATATATGTTTTCTGAACTAACTCCCTCCTTCCAAACACAACCATTGATGAAGCGCACTTGTTCAGAAAACCTTTCATTCAAAATCCATCCATTGATATTGGCCGCCTGGTCACCATGGTTACCTCAGTTTTGATTCTGTCTCTTTCATTTGGACTCGGCCTCGACTAGTCCAGGTTTTGGACTTGTCTTGAACTTGACAAAGGTGGTCTTGACTGCAGCAATTTCAAGTAGAATATGGAGAAAATGTCAGGTTTTCTTTTGTGTTTTTCTTGTCAAGAAATTCACAATTGTGTGTTTTCACTTTGAATAATGACAGGCTCAGGGTCAAATAATTCAAACACTGTTAAAATTCAAATCAGTGAGTTTTTTGACTTATTTGGCTACTGCTCATGTAGACAGAAAATCCTAAGAAAAAATAAATACAATTTCTGTTTTAGGTCAACTAATGAGGTGTCTTGAAAAAATCTTGAAAAAAACATACAAATAGACATAAATATTTAATTCAACACCTTTCTTCCATGCTAAAGAACTAAAACCATAATCTGGTTCCCTCTCATCACTGGCTGTACTGAAATTGACCATAGCCCAGTTTATGACATGTTTTTATGTCAAAATTGGATTCCGCCAGAGGGAAAGTTAAAGAGTTAAGCTTCAGGTGTCTGTTTTATGCTGTCCCTTTTACCTTAAAGCTGTTGTATCAGTCTATACAATCATCCTTGAGGCCATCCCAGTTGAAATGGAGATAATAATCTACAGTCTCATTGATCGTTTTTTCTCAACATGTTCCATAAAGTCAGGTCGTGTTGATTTATGACACCTTGGGTGCTGGAGATTAAAGCCCTCTTCAGCCTGCTACAGGATAATATGATTTACATTTGTCATTTAAAGTACTTCCACATATGAAACCTGTTAACTAAATGATAACTCTGAGACCTTTTGGTAATGAACAGTGTCGGGATAAAATATATAGTGTGTTAAGGCCTATTCCATTGGTCCCATGTTATACACAATAAAAACAGCTCCCTTGATTTACACAATGTTAAGAGTGGAACATTCCCTAGCTTATTTATGTGTATGATACATACTATATTCTCTGAATGCTACAGTCATTATACTTCATAGGTAGATGCAGAAGGAAGTTCATTTCATTAGCTTAAAAATCAACATGTCACTATTTACCGTGTTTTTGTGGAGTTGTGCCAGTACCTCATATACTCTTCCTTCTCAAGTGACACTTCAGCGCTTTGTGTCTAAGTGGAGACAAACATAAAAGAACCTCCCACAATCTCTTTTATTTAGTCAAATCAACAGAGGGAGGGATGGACAACTGTGTGAAGCTCAAACAAAGCTTTTTGACATGGATTATTTTGTTTATATCTATATATTGCTCTACACAGATTTGTTTTAACAGCTATTAAAAAATAACGTCATCTCAATGTAAAATATGCATTTTACCTTGTGCTTCTTGTTGTCATTTAAGTAGCAGTAGTATTCAATGTAATCTTGACTTGTAAAGTCTTTAGAATGTCATCAGGTTGTAATACAAACACACACACACCTTTCATGCACCATATTTAATGACGATATGACAAACACCACCACTGATATCTCTGGTCTATTGCTTCCACCGTTGTCCCACAGAGTTTGTTCCCTTCAGTGACTCACATCTCAGGTGGGGCCTGACAGAGGACCCACAGGATTATCCAAACAATGCTAAAACTGGGACATAAGGATTAGCTTTGGCCCTGTAATCCACAGTGGAGTTCCCACTATCCCTAAACCCACAAAGGCTCCTGGATTTACCTGTGGAGGTTTTGAAGATCTGAAATCTTGTTGAGTTGATCATGGTTACACAGATAATAAATGGTCAGAATTAAGTGAGAGGTAATTTTAAGTGATTTGGTGAATGAAGTTGAACAGTACTAACATTTTGACATGTTTACAAGTTTTAATTCATGACACGTGAAGACAAAGACCTAACTTTACCCAAATCATCAAGCATCAATGCAGGACGTGCAGTTGTAGATTTAGTCCTTTGAGGTTTGGTCCTAAACAATTCTGTATGATTGCAATCCAGTGGTGGTTTACCTTCTGACTAACAAGCATCTGCTGGACAAGATTCTGGAGTTATTGTTTTTCTTCTGCTGAATACAACAAATATCAATTTTGCTAACAAATTCAGAATGCTGTGGATTGAACATTTCGTTATGTCATGTGTGTCCAGGATCACTACCACTGCTGCTTGTATGATGGACCTGAGAAGATATCCGCTGGATGAGCAAAATTGCACACTCGAGATAGAGAGTTGTAAGTAATTCTTCCTTTATTCAATAATTATTCTCTTTTTTCATGTATTCATATTTTGTTTATTGTCAGTGTCAGTTTCTTGGCTGTGTCTGTGTCTTTATACAACAGTATAGCGTCAGCTTTGTTCAGTCAGCTTGCAGGAACTATGTGTGACTGGACCAGCACTGGGTCCCAACAATTTGTGCTCTACTGTAGTACAAGGATTTACTCGGAATTTTAATATTTTTAACATAATCCTTCCCATCCAATTTTCTATATTTCCCTTGGTAAAAGAAGAAGCATTATTTTCTTCTTAAATGAACCCTTACCTGAGTTTGCTCTTCAAAAAAAAAAAAAAAAAAGTTACACATATAGAGCTTTTTATTGCACAAACATTGGTCCCAAGTAGAAATATGTTTTTCAGCCATTCTGATGTGATACACAGACTTTGGAAACATTCGAGGGAATTTAGGTAAAATAGTTTAAATCAGCCTACACTGTATTTTGAACCATGTCTTCACAGTTTAGTGTGGATGATCCATTATTAACACCTAAAGGACTACTTTGTGTAATGTGCACTGTCCTTGGTGCTGAAGTGATAAAGGAGAGCTATTGCTAATGCTGTCCAAAGCTCAAAGCTGCAGCCTAGTTTCAAATTACAAGCAGTACATCATATGGGGTGCTGTGGCACCTCTACGGCACTTACTATTTAACCCCAGCATACTGGGTTTTAAGGTTTGAATGCATCCCAGGACCTTTCTTGTGTCTCCATCAGTCTCTTTCAGTGTTTCCATACTTTTTTAAAATCTATTTGATAATGAAAAAAAACAGGGTTTCTGCAGTTTTATTTAGGATTAACATATTATTGTATTATTACAACAGGTTCACATTTCTCAAATGAATGTCTTCTTTTTTATAACTTCACTTGTGAGGGATATTGTCCAATACAGCTGACATCCCTGATGCTAACTGCTGCTCAAATGCCCTGCTGCTTTAGTTGCTGGCACACTGACATGAAAGTAGTGGCGATGCAGAACGTGTGACCTCTTCATTCATCTTGGGGAAAATTTAATTAATTTGCAAACTAAGATGATTAAACTTTCTCAAGCTTAGTCAGAACTCAACTGGATAACTGTAAATGCATCTTAAGGTAGTTGCCATACAGAAATAGGGCTAAAGGGTGTTATACTCAATTGTGCTAGTGAGCTGGAAGGCCTACAGCTGGTGCTGGTGTACGGGGGGAAATAGAGCGTAAGGAGCAAAGTAGGTGAGTTACTCTAGAGTGCACAATACATTTAAACAGGGAGGTTTTGAAGAGCAGTATGCTTATTGTACCTGTTTTGAGAATTTGAACATTATCTATGATGATGATGTGTATAATGCATTATAAACTACATACCTGTACTGTGCTTTTAATAATGTATACTTATAGTTATACACACTCATATGCATTGTATTGCATTACAAACATACTTACAAATGTGTTAAACTATGGCTATAGTATTTTACTAAACAATGAACACTTCCTCAGGGATGAAACACACCCAATTACCACATATAACAGCTTATGCACATTATCATTCATTATAAAATGATTATAATGTATTGCAACTATGATAATTACAAAACACTATGATCCTTGTCAGTGAATGACTAGCAGTTATGACATACTATACATGTTACATACATATTATATATTACACCTTAAGTCACTATACATTAGTCATTGTGCCATTGTTGTTAAAAGGATATTACCCTGGTATCTCCATGATCACCTTCCCCAGCATTTTTTCTATCCTCTAAATGGAGTCTGGAACTTTCTTTATGCAAGGCTAATGGTGCACACAGCCCACAACATGCACATAGCTACATTACTGAATGTGCTGTACCCAGATACATTTGTCCAGAAGCCGAATGCATGAAGCCTCTGCTGTACAATAGTCACCTAATGGACTGTAGAATGTGTTTTGCTTGGTGCATGATGTGTACATAAGGCTCTCAAACTGTATGACATATTGTATCAAATTCTATAATTTCCATTAATTAAAACAAACGTTATATCCATCCTCAATTGATAAAACCATCTTGGCTCCAAATATGTATCATTAGGTTAGCAGTAAAAATGTTAAAAAACAACAACAATAAAAGAGAAAAAGAGGGAGCGCCAATTGATATGGAATTGGTAGTGCAGATTAGTGTGAAAGAGATGTGGAATGGGATGAGAAACATTCTTGGGTGTAAGTTGTTAGACCAAATGGTTAAACCAGGAGGGAACCACCAGTTAAACTCCTTTTCAACAGGTTTGACAAAGTGATCTCAAGCCAGCTACACAGGCCTCACTCTCTCCTTTACTGATGACATTATAGTTGGCATCACAGCTCCTCATCAAATCTAAACTGTCAAAGATACATCACTGCCCTTTTCCTCTGCCTAGCCCATGCCTCATTGTCACTTCCTAGCATGGACATAGGAATGCCTCTCATTGTGAACCTAAAATCTGTGACCACTGTCTCTAATGGCCTGCTCACATTAATCGGCCGATTAAGAGGATGTTCCTGTCAACATGGATGTCATCACCCTGGAAACATCTTATAATTAACAGACTATACATTTCATCATTATTTTTATAATTGTATAATACGAATGTGTTTACTCATGCAGTTCATCTTTCTCATTTTATTCAAAGAACAAATGCTGGTAATAAAAACCTGACATTTTATATACATTTAGCCTATTCATCTGGAGATAAAAAACAAACAAACCCTTGTGCCTCATTTTCTGAGTCACACATTAAGAAACACCACTTTTACACATAAAGGTCACAGACTAGAAAGAAATTAGGAAAGTATTGAAGCGGTAACGTGCTTGTGCTATTGTCGAGACTGAGAGGATGACCTTCATGCTGACAGCACTATATACAAGACTGCTCGCTTATCATCTACTTTCTCTTGCCACGGGGAGCAACAAGCAAAAATGTCTTAATCAAACCTAATTGGGAATCTGGTATTCTTCTGGTAAAATGGTGTCTAGCTCGTAACTGCAAATGTTGACTCATACAGTGCAGTGTCCATTTAAACTACTTGTTTGAACATAGTTTAGGGGGAATGATGGTAGGTGTATGTTTCCCCAACAAGTTTAAAACACACTGGATGAGGAGTAGTAACTGCAGCTGTGTGTGTATGTGAGGATGCCTAATATGTGGGTTTATGTATGTGTACAGTATATGTGTGCACTTGAAAATAAAACACAAAGAGTTCAGGAGCTCATGGAGGAACAGCATGAGGGGGATGTCTTCTGGTTTGAACTGTTTTAGATTTAGTGTTGCCTTCGATGGCTTCACATTGGGTTGGATCATTGATTTTTATCCAGCTATGCTCTTTCTCTTCCCTAAATCCCTGTGTGCATTTCTTCTCACTATCCTAATCTCCCATTGTGCTTCTGTCCCCCTTTGCTGTCTTTCTTTCTTTGTCTGGCTCTTCCCTTCTCTATGTCTACACATTTGCCAGTATCGTAATTTCATACTCTACTCTCACTTTTTTGGCTTGCTTCCATTGAGTAATGTCTCCTAATATCCCTGGTATTGAGCCACCGAGAGATGCCTGTGATTTAATAGGCTTTGACAGGTTGAGGATAGCGTCCAATAACTTTCATTTATGGATCAGGCTTTCATCCTTTTATGCTGACCTTTTCTAATTATTTTAGCCAAAAGTTAAATTGCTGACCCTGGTTTAATTAACAACTTTTAATTACGCAATAACAGGCTGTTTTCCGTACAGTGGTTGCTGTATCAGCATACAAAGAGGGATGGGGCCACCATATTGTTTTCAATTCTATAAGAAAGCTCATTCATCAGTTTTATTTATGCAGTTACCACGCACAAAAAATCTCAGTAGAATAAAAATCATTTTGAAATTCCTTTTGTTTCCCAGTTTACACAGTTCTGTCAGTTGTTGAATGAAAGACAATTGAAGAAATATTACAAACAATGGTCAGACCACACTGGATATTACAGCTTTTGGAAGAAGAGCCTGGAGAAAACAGCATCCATTGTATTTGTTTACTGCCAGAGTTTCCATCAGAAACTGCACCATTCACTATATGCCAACCAATTCCCCCTTGTAACTGTATCATTTTATTCTCATTTAGGATTTTCTGTCTTCCATCACACTATGCTCATCATATGTTGCATGTTTGCAGGGACAGATCTAAAAATTACATTTGACAGAATCTGACACCAAACTGTCCACATGCCACCCCTCTTGATCCGCCCCTGCATGTTTGATATGAATGAAAAGGAAAAATGTAAAACCCCATAGTGGTGCGGATGGAGAGATGTAAATGATTCATTCTGGATAGCCCAGGGACCTTTCCTGCCCTGCCTGTGACTAATAGTTAGGTGGATTCACAAATTACTCACCCATATTTTGGATTGTGGGAATAAATAAAATAAAGAATAAGGAAAAGTAACAAATAAATTCATAAACCCTGCCACAACATTGTGATCTAATGTTTGACTGACACTGCAAACTGTTAACTTAAGCAAGCCATTTTAATTACACAAGAGCATAGTATTGTATTTGGAACAATCATATGGGTATATGTAGTGCTGCAACCCCATTTAAAGAGCAGTATATGTTTGTTGGCAGTGGAAAACTTAAAGGGGGTGTTGAAGGAAGTAACCCTAGGCAGGAGTCTGTACAAAGAGGTGGGATTTATTAACAAATATGTTAATGAAACTGAGGAAAAAACAAATCCTTGGAAGTTAAAAAAAACTGAAGCTGAAGAAAAAATACAAGAAAAAAGCAAGCTGCCACCTGCTCCCTCACTGCTGACTAGTGACAGGCATTTTATCTTCTCAGGGTCACTTAACTGAAACGTACCACCTACTCAGGTAACACACAGGGTGAGCCAGGCTGATTCAAAGCAGTCAAATTATATTAATACTAATGATACAAACCTGCTGTCACTAACCTTAATTGAGCAGATAATCTACATCAATGTCACAAGCAGACCAACAGGAA